ACTCAGGCAGCCCCACAGCTGTGTCCCGGGGCTGGGCAGCACTCACTGATGGGTTCCTCGGGGTGGAATGCCAGCTCGTTGACTGAGCCCGCGTGGCCCGGCAGCTTGTATAGGATCCTCCTGGACGTGGTGTCCCACACRTACACAAACCTGGGGGAAAAGAGAGGCCTTGGGGCAGGGCTCAACAGGAACTTCCYCATCCAGATCCCAATAAACCCATCCAGATCCAGATAAACCCCTATAAATCCAAATAAACCTCTATAGATCCAAATAAACTGCCACAGATCCCAGTAATCCCTATAAATTAAACCCCTACAGATYCCAATAAACCCTTACAGATCCAAATAAACYCCTATAGATCCACAKAAACCCTTATAAAATAAACCCATACAAACCCTCATAAACCCCTATAAAATAAATCCCTACAGATTCCTATAAACCCCTATAAAATAACACCCTACCGATCCAAATAAACCCCTGCAGATCCAAATAAACCCCTATAGATCCTSTATAAAATAAACCCCTACAGATCCCAATGAACTGTTATAAATCCAAATACAGATCCCAATAAAACCCTATCAAATAAACCCTTGCAGATCTGAATAAACCCCTATAGATCTGAATGAATCTCTATAAATCCAAATAAACCCCTACAGATCCAAATAAAGCCCTATAAAATAAACCCTTATAGATCCACATAAACCCATGCAGATCCCAGTAAACCCCCATAAAATAAACCCTTACAGATCCCAATAAACCCCTATAGATTGAAATAAACCCTTACAGATCCCAATAAACCTCTGTAGATCCCAATAAACCCCTATAAAATAAACCCATAGAGATTCAAATAAACCCCTACAAATCTGAATAAACCCCTATAAAATAAAACCCATAGATACAAATAAACCCCTATAGATCCCAATAAACACCCCTTGGGATTATGACAGGATTTTATGAAACCCTAAATCCCTGTGGTCACCCCTGCTCAGCTGGGGCAGAGGAAGGGACTCCATCCCTGGGCACAAGGATCCCACTCTGGTGGTTTCCATGTCCCTCCCCTCTTCCCTGACTCTCTTCCCGCATATTTCAGGGCTCGTTTTTTAATATTAAATAATAAATAAATTTCATTTAATAGCCCCCATTTAAAAATCAATCTCCCCATGCCTCCAGTTCAACAGCAAAAATAAATATTCAGGTAAATTGTTCCTCCAACACAGACACAGCACAGGAGGGGAGAGGAACCTTTGGGGGAATGTTTTGAACTCAAACAAAATGTTTGTTTTGCTTTCCCTAGTAGACATTTTTCTCCTCCAAAAATAATAAAAATAATAAAAATAATAAAAATAATAATAATAAAACATTTAAAAGCCCAAATAATAACAACAACAATGACATTAATAATAATTAGGATAGGTTAAATGGGGTTAGGATGAAAGAGTAACAATAATAATAAAAGGTTAAATAGGGTTAGGATAAAATAACAATAACGATTGTAATAATAATAATATTATTTAGGATAGCTTAAATAGGGTTACGATAAACTAATAATAACAACAATAAGAAGATCAGGTAAATTAGGGTTTGGATAAAATAATAATAATAACAATAACAATATATAGGATAGGTCAAATAGGGTTAGGATAAAATAACAGCAATTACAATATTAATAATCATATTTAGGATAGGTTAAATAGAGTTAGGATAAAATAATAATAACAACATTAATAATAATAGATTAAATAGGGTTAGGATAAAGTAATAACAATAATAATAATGATAGGTTAAATATGGTTAGGATAAAATAATAACGACAACAATAATAACAGTAACCACAACAATAACAGTAGTAACAATAATAATAATGATAAGTTAAATAGAATTAGGATAAAATAATAGTACTAATAACACTAATACTACTAATAATAATAATAATAGTAAATAATACAAATGAAAAGCTCTGTGGTAGCAGAAAGATTTGCGTGGCCCTGTGTGACCCACCCCAGGAGCTGTCAGGCCCCTGAGCTCCAGCAGYACCTGCAGAATGAACCAACTGCCCCCAGCTGCAGGTTAAGGTGCCCCAGGCAGGAATTCCGTTCCCAGGCAGGAATTGTCCCCACRTGGCCCAGCAGGGCCACCACAGCTCAGGCTCCTGCAGGGACAGCTGCCCCACTCAATCACGAGTGGCAGAGCTCAGCTTGTGCCTCTGTGCCATCAGAAACTCCTTCAGCTGCTGATCACTGCTGCTGCCAGCCCTGCAGCAATTCCTGTCCCCTGGCACTGCCAGCGGGGCTGGAGCCACTCCAGGGGACCTTGGTGTCCTTGATGGGACCTTCAGACCCCATGCTGCTCCCTCCCTGTGCCTCTTCTGCTCCTCAGCTCCTTCACTCTGCCCCTTCTACTTCTCAGTTCTCTCCCTGTGCCCTCTCACTCCTCAGTTCTCTCCCTGTGCCCCTCTCACTCCTCAGTTCTCTCCCTGTGCCCCTCTCACTCCTCAGTTCTCTCTCTGTGCTCCTCTCACCCCTCAGTTCTTTTCCTAGAATCTCTCATTTACAAGTCTGATAGGTGCTAATTGATCATTATTGCTCCTAATTAAAGGAGGATCATTAAYGACCCTGGAATCCCACCATGCAGGGATTTAATTGGGATTTGTGGTCCTCAGTCTCACACCCCATACACAGAGCCTGCTCTCAGAGAGCCTCCCAGGATTCTGCCAGGACACCCAGGGGTGCAGTGAGGTGACCAAGGTGTCCCTGTCACCTGCTGGCCCTGCTGTGGGATCCTGTGGTGGGCACAAGGCACATCCTCAGGCAGCTTCTGACAATAATAATAATAGTAATATTATTACCATTATTATTATAATAATTATACCTATTCTTACAACAATAATGTTAATATTTTTACTACATTTAGTATATTTATTATAACATAGTATATCAACATAATATGTAAAATAATATAAAATTATATTATTACATTTATAGATTACATATTATATATAATATACAATTCATTATTAAGAATAATACATATTCCTATTCTTATAATGGTAACAATAATACATTGTTGGATATTCATTATTATATTTAGTATRCTTTTATATTTATTGTAATATTATATTACATTAATATAAAGTATAATACATYACTATTATTAAACTTATAAATATATACTATACATGTATTATTATTATTGTTATTAATATTATTATTATTATACTACCAAATGCTCCTCCACGGACAGAAAAGCAACAGAAACCCATCCCTGTGGAAACCAGGAAAACTCTCAGGGGTTTTTTGGGATTTTGGGATTTTACACCTTCATACACAGCCCTAAACCTACAGATTCTGACCCAGGAATGCTGCAAATCCATTAAGGATTGATGGGGAGGGAGGAAGTGGTGAAAACTCACCTGTCAGCTGACCCCCCTGCGATTTTACTGCCATCTGGGGACCAGGAGCACCTCAGCAGGTTCTAAATTATAGAATAAATTTAAAAAAAAAGTATTTAATAAATAATTAATAAAATAATAAAAGAAAAATAAACATCTCTTCAGTTTCCCCCTTCTCCTTGAATTAAAATCACCATGAGGTTTTAACCAGCACCAGCAGCACCTTAATGACGTCCCTTTGGAAGAGGAGGTGGTAATTACAGATTTCATTTGATTTTATTGCTGGAAACAGCCAGTGCCTTGTTATTTCACACAAAGTAGATGGTGAGTGTAGAAAATACTTAATGTACAGTTAATTACAGCTGAACCGAGCAAAGGAATCATGTTATTGAGGCTTTAATTGGAATCCCACTTTGTGTATTCATCTTTGAGTACTTATTAAAGCCTTCCTGGCTTAAACTTGAATTGAAAAGAAACAATTTAAGCCAAGTCAATAGCAGGGGGAATGGACCAAGGAGTGGAGCAAACTCACCTTTTCAAAATTATGGACRTTCCCCTGGAAAATCTTCACACACCTCTCCTTGGGGGCGAAGGGCCTCACATCCCAGATCCGAACTGCAGCAGAGCAGAGCCATCAGCTCAGGGGGGCACAGAAGGACAGCGCTGGCAAATCCCCCGTTCCCTCATTTTACCCCAAATCCACAGCCAAGCAGCAGCTTYCCTGCAGGGACAGGCCCAAAGCAGAGGGTGCTGGAGGGGGAAAAATCCAAACCAGTGATCCCAAAAATGAACCAGCAGCTCCTTAGGGGAGGATTTGCTTTATCCTGATGGATTCCATGGTCATGATCCTGGTGGGCTCAACCTCACTGAGCATCCTCAGGGGACACAGCCAAACCA